GCTGTAATTAAGCCACATCATCACTAATGACATGCTCTCTATCTCCCATCATCAGAGCAACACACCATCCGTCCAAACAGGAAGGAGAAGCCCAGCTCCACACCGCCCCTGGGGAGAGCTGGGGTGGTGAGCCAGGCCTTGGGTGGCAACTCTCTCCAGTGTGGAGAGAATGACCAGCCTCCCTCCCTGGACCGTCATCATAGCTGAGCCTGCTGAGCTCTGCGGAAAGACGTTAAGAAGTGATAGGAGAAGGGAGAGATACCAGGCAGGGCAGAAGCACCAGGGGCCCAGATCACCATAGGCAATGTGGAAATTGGGAGGAAAAAAGGTAAAAGTAGGACATCAGGAAGAAATGGAAGTAGAGTCCTTAGAGAAAGGAGCTAGGAAAGGCTGCGTCAGTGGGAGGAAGAGGTTGCTGCTGAGGCAAGGGCTAAAAACAGAGAGAATGCAGGATGAACCCAAGGCTGGGGCAGGGGCTGAGCTGAGCCCTCCAGAGCTCCATGAAAGGCTCATCCATGCATCCCCAGCCTGCAGGTGGAAGGGATGGGTGACCTGCTGGATACAGGAAACCTCTCACTGCTGTGGGGTGAGGGATCCTCAGCATCACCTTCATGGATGCAGACCTGCCATAGAATTAGAAGGCCTGGACAGGTGGGGCTTAAGGGAGGCTTGAGGCTGGCACCTGAGCCTTGGTGTCAGAGAGTGAGCTACTCCATCTGGAGCCAAGACCACAGCCAGCCCTTTTGGAAAGTTCTATCCCCCTCTCCTACAGAAAAGGAGGCAGGAGATGTTGACAGCAGGAGACCAAGTCCCCATCTTCCCAGTGTCATGGGCCCCCACTGAGGAAAGCAGGGCCTTATACTTGGCTGCCAGGTTGGACACACAGCTGTGGGTTCAGGAGGCAGGTTGTGAAATAAGCCAGGAGCCTGCAGATCCAAGAGTTGGGGAGAATGACTCATATCGGGGGGGCAAACCATCTCAAAGTGAGGACAGTGAAAGCAGGTCCTGGGTCATGGTGGCTCCCATTTCAGGGAAGAGGAACAGGGGGAGTGTGGAGCAAGGCTGGGGGCTGCATGTTACAACAGGGGGCCAAGGAGAACGCTCAGAGGAACCAGCAGCCCTGCCAGGAGAAACCCTTCTGGAAATGGATGTGGGCTGGGAGGCTGGAGGAGAATGCAATGGGACTGGAATGGAGCCGGAAGCTAGGCAGGTGTGCCTCAGGTGTGACATGGGGCTTGCTATACACTAGTCACTGCACTAAGCTCTTTGCACACTTTAACTCATTTCATCCTCACATCAGCCTGTCAGATAAATATTCTTGTTTTTCCCATGTTACAAGTGAGGAAAGAGAAATTGAGCAGAGAAACTGAGTTGCCCACATCACAGTTATAACTGGCAAAAGAAACAAATCAACAAAAGGTTTCAGATCCACACCTCGCCAAATGCAAAGTGCGTGTCCTTCCACACTGAACTTCTAAGGTCCCTTTCAGTCCTGGATCCATCAGGCTGCGGCTCAGGTCCTGAGCTGGGAGCAGCTTTCATCTGGAACTGGGGCTGCATGTGGAGTTCCAGCAAAAATAATCTGGAGTCTCTCCTGGAGATGGACAGATTCGAAGCAAGGAGGGATTTCGGGGACATGCTCCCTAAGAGGGGTCTGCAACTAAATGGGGATGCAACATGGACGACCCATCAGGGAGGAGGGATGGACAAGCCAATGGCAGCTGGTCTGCAGGAGAGGAGAGACCCTCAATGTCTCTGCTGCTCCTGGAATCATTTGCCAAATGTGAATGTAAGGACTGAGGGGTAGTGCAGAACAATTGCCCTTTGTGTAGTTGCCACTCTATAGGTGGCAGAAGTGGCAGAGCCCCTGGGAGGGAGATTGGAAGCAGCTGGCAAAGGGCAGCCCAAACCCCAGAGCAGCTGCCCAATGGGCCCTAAGCAGTCTTTAACAAGCTCTCTGTCTCCAACAATTCACTTCCCTGTTACCTCCTCCTCCAGGAAGCCTTTCCAGATTGTGCCCAGCTCTCAGGCTTTCCTTCCTATGGAGCCCCTTGGTTGTGCCTTGCCAGTGCCTCCATTCCTGGATCATCTACTGCCTGAGAAAGAAAGAGTTCTCAGAGGAGGGAGGGGTTTACACACTGTGCAGACAGGGCTTGGAAAAAGGGGTATCAGCTGAGTCATGGGGGCCCTCACTCCAAGGACCTCTGGATCAGCACCAAGATTTTCAGGAAAAGTTGTCTGAAGTCCTCAGGTTCTCTAACTAGAGGTGTGGAGGTTCAGGCAGCGGCAGCTGAGCCCCTGCCCCCTCCTCCTTCCTGTAATAGGAGAGATCAGAGAGGAGAGGAAGAGGAGACAGGAGTCAGGCCCAGGCAACACAGAGGCTGGGGCCAGCCTGGGCACGCCAGGGAGTGAAACAGCATCCCCTCCCACTGGCAGCTCCGCGAGGGGTGCACAGCCTGTCGTGGGTCACCCCACAGCCTCTCTGCTGTAGGGAAGTCTTTCCTCCAGTCACAAGGATGGAAAGTGCAGTATCCAGAGCTGAAGGCAGAGGGCAGTGTGTGCACAAAATAGAGGCACCGAGGGTTTCTCCCCTGCTTGGAAACAAACAGCCAGTGACCAGATAGGAATGTATTTTAGTGAATGGACTCAGCGTCCTCCACTTTTCACTTAGCCCATCTCGGCCAGGTCTCTGGGCAAAGACCTGCTGCTGATCCACACCGCCCAGACCCGAACCAGCACACAGCTGGCAAACACAGACAGGCTTTAAAAATGCTAATAATAACAGTGAGCGTCTCCACGTGGCAGACCATGTTCCAGGCACTGTTTTACTTCCATCATCTCTTTTCCTATTCTCTGGTCTCCTCTAAGGTGAGTTCTTTCAAAGGTAAGGAGGTGTCGAAGCCTGGCATATAGACTCCAGACTAAGACTGGAATTCAGTTCCTCCATTTACTAACCGTGTTGACATATGGGGAATTACTTAACTCCTCTGAGCCTCAATATCCTCAGAAGTTAAATAACATTATAATAATCGCATTTTAGAAAAGTAACACACATCAGGTTGTTGGGAGAATTAATTGAGTTACCAGAGTGAGTGCTGAGCACAGTTTCTGGCACACAGAAAGCACTTCCTTGCGGCCGGCTTGTGATCATCTTCCTCCACAAGGGCAGGGTCTTGCACTAGGTCACTACTGGCCATTAGCAGAGCCAGAATTCAAAGCTAGGTATATGACTCTTCTGCCACAAGGCTAGGCCCAAGGGGACCATTTATCTGACAGTTCTGGCTTTGCCAGTTGTCCAAGGATCCAGTTTGGTATTTATTTAGATCAAAAGTGTCCCAGTTTGAGTGACTGCCTGCACACAGATGCATATACAACACAAATGTATTGACACAACTGTGTCTCATCACCTACACACCAGGCCATCGAGACGTGGGTATGCTGTGTGTCTATCCAGCTCTTTTTCCCAGGGAAGGTGGGATAAACTAAGGCATGCGTTCCCATGGCAAAAGTGCTGACTTCAAGCCAGACCCTGGAACAAGTGGATGTAGGGTGAGGAGTGAGGGACAGGCATGTGAGCAGCTGGCATGACACCAGAAAAATAGAGTGCCAGCTTTCACATGGGCTCAAGACAGGGTTGTGAGTGTGTAGGCCAATGGGCCAGCCCCGGCTGCTCACCAGTGCTGTGAATATGGGCAGATCACTCACCCATCCGGGCCTTAGTTTGCCTGCCTGTAGAATGGGCGTGTGGGGTAGGGAGGTGTTGGGCCACAGCTGTCATGATCCTTCTCATGGAATGAAGACTGATGGATCCACCTGGACCAGACACCACAGGAACGTGGGTGGTGGCCACACAGGGTGAGCCATCAGTAGGTAATGGACATCGGAGGTTGAGAAAATGATATTTGCAAAGACCCTTGGCTGTGAAACATCTGGCCTGCACGGGGAAAGGCTGGAGAATAAGGTGGCAAATGATGCAGGGGAGACAGGATCTCGGACACTCTGGTTGCCACCCTCAAACGAGCCTTGCACTTGAAAGATGGGCTCACATTAAGAGTTTTTCTCAAATCAGCTGTGCTAACTGATGCTGAGAAACAAACATTCTTGCAGAAACACACACACATACACACACACGCACACGCACACACACACACACACATACACACACACGCACACATACACCCACATACACACGCACACATACGCACACACATACGCACACATACACACACACACATACACACATACACACACACACACACACACACACAGAGAGAAATAAAAGAGCATCCTTGAATCTCAGCTCTACTCCACTGACGTTTTCTTCGTAGTAGTTAACACTGCTTGACTTCATCCTATATGTTGCTTTGGTAGGTGCATATTTTCACTCTCCCCCATAGACTATCAGCTCTATGGGGCCGGGGTCTGTGCCTATTTTGTTTATTCCGGTATTCTCAGTGCCTGAGCAATGCCTAGCTCACTGAATATTTGTTAAGCAAGGCACTATTTCAAATACACCTTAGATTGAGATCCCGTAAGCATGTATACACACAGGCCTTACACATTAGGGTGAAAAGGAAATTGGTTAGAAGAGGAAGGCAGGGCCATTGTGTGGGAGCAGGACTGGGGAGTGAGTGGTGGGTGATGGAGAGTGAGACGGTGGGAAAAATGAAGAAGCAGCCGCTCGAAACACAGACAGTGCGTGTGCACCACCATGGGCGCTTGGAGAACCGGAGCAGGCAGCTGTGCAGAAGCGCTCATGCCTGTGTCCACCGTGGGGCAATGATGTCTCACAGGGCTATTGTGCAGACAGGTGGCACAGGGCCCGGGAAGCATCCGGCCTGCCCGGCAGTGGCCTCAGCAATAAATTGCAACTGTTTACCAGGATCAGCCCTCACCAGATAAAACCAGTGAAAAACTGCATGAGGCCAGAGGGAAGCAAAAGTCAGATCCAGAAAAGTTAAGGCACTACAGATGGTGACATCCTGGGCAACAGATTCAACTGAGAACCAAACAGACTTAATCATTTATTGCAGGAGAAGCAGAGGACTGGACACAGTCCCAATCAGAAGACGAAGCGAGTCCCTTGGCAGTGAAGACCCAGGAAAGACATGGGGGCAGAGGGGCTTGTAGCTGGCCACGGGGAAACATTCTGGGTATGTGTGTTGTCTTTGCATTTGGGTAATGACCCAGTGAAAGGGGACCAAGAAGGAGGTCACTGAGGCAGCCCATGACAGGACTCCTTGTGTCAGAGCATCACACCTTGAGGACAACAGGGAGAGGAAATGGGGTCGGGACTGTAGTGACAGACAAAGCATTTCTGGACTCGGAAAGGGGGCCCAGGGAAGGAGAGGGAGGAGATGGGTGGGTTGGGAAGCCTTCTGCTCACAGAGCCAGCCACCTGTCCATCATCTGGAGGCCTTTTTGGTGGCACAGCTGCCACCCGAGGTTTTGGCAAGGGGATCCTTGAGCTCACTGCCACAGCTGCCTTTGGTCTTGACGTCTGCAGCTGCAGTTTTGTAGCTATAACTGCTTGAGGCCCCAAAGCCCATGCTGAAGCCAGCCCCTCCTGCCCCAGCATTGGTGCTGCTGATGACGGCTGGAAGGGATGAGAAAAGACCTCAGCCTCAGTCATCCCCAAACCCACGTCACACCCCCTCCTGGGGCATCCTGGGCCACCCGCTCCACTCTCTCGCCTGCAGCGGCTTCATGCTGAGATGGATTCTGTCTGTTGTGTATTTCAGTTTGCTAAGAGATTTTTATCAGCACTGATCATAGGGCTTTATTTTTCCTGCACTTAGCCTCATACATTTTGCCTTTTCCTATTAGTCTGTGGATTTCCCCCATGGGGAGGACCAAATGAAGAGAGGAACTTCCCAGGCCCCATCTGGTGCTGCTGGTCTGCTGATGAGGAAAGGAGCCAGTGAGGGCCCTGCCTCTTAGCATCACGGCATCTCCCCACAGGCTATCCAGCTTTTACAGCTGAGCAGGTGCTCTCAGCTGTCTTTTCCCATCCTTCAACCTTCAGGCCCCCTCAATCCCCCTTACTATAATCTGGTGCCTTTATTTTGGTCAACAGAAAAAGAATGTCACTATTAAGCATCATTCATTAGGTGATACGCTCCTGAATATGATTTGATCTTTCTATGGATTGTACTTTTGTATCTCATGATATTCTTCTCCATCTACTTCTTCCCCTTGGCTACTACAGCCAGCTCCCTCCTTTTGCCCTTAAGTCTCCCCTGAGCCCTCTCTGTGACTCTGATTTCTCTTTTGTGTCCTGAATTAAAGGGACTCGGACTTCTGGTAAGGTGACCAAGGGCAGAACTGAGATCTGCAGATACTTACAGATGCTCACAGAATTTGGATATTCGCCAGACATCCTGAAGAGGGAGAAGAAAAACAGGCAACTCCTCCACAAACAATCACCCCAACCACCTGGGAGTCATCTCTGTGAATAAGCCTCTCAAAGCAGAACGTGCCTTCCCAACCCCATCCCAGCCTCCTTTCTTCCCACGCATCCCAGTGCGACCTCCCAAGAAAAGAACCGAGATGGAAATCTGCAGCTAGGAGTCAGCTCTCCATCAGGCTGCTTTGGAACTGCCTGCTGCGTGGGATCACTAGGCCTCCATTTCCCTCTAATCATGCCACTGGTCTTAGACGATTCAGAAGAATAGCTTACCACCCCATTGGAGTCCCAGGCTTTGCTGGAGCACCCTTGAACTTGGACAGTCCTTAGAGGCCATCTTGCTCCTCCCCCACCCACAGAAATACAACATGAACAGTCAGGGGATGCTGTTTCTCAAGCATTGCCAGCATTAATACCTCCTCTCCCACAGCCTTTGGGATTTTTTACAACTTGGTCCTGCCTGCTGTCTTAACTTTGGCCTTCCTAACCACGTGGCAAGCCCATTTGCTCTATGGTTTTACTTCAGTGGGACCTAAACAGGACCAAAGCGTTTGCCCTGGAGCTTCCTACCAAAGCAGAGAGAAAACTGGCCCTGACACGGGGTATGCGGCCCCTCACCTGCACTCCTCACTCTCCAGCAGTTTGCGGTATGTGGCAATCTCCACATCCAGGGCCAGCTTCAGGCTCATGAGCTCCTGGTACTCGCGCAGCATCCGTGCCAGCTCCTCCTTGGCCTGATACAGGGCGCTCTCCAGCTCATCCAGCTTGGCCCGGGCGTCCTTCAGGGCGCAGTCCCCCCGCTGCTCAGCATCGGCGATGGCCGTCTCCAGGTTGGCGCACTGAGGGGCAAACATATCCAGCACTTTGCGTCCAAGCCCAGTTCTGAGATCTTGCTTGGACAGCCTCCCCTCGGTTTTTCCTAACTGATGGTAAGTGCTTGGAGATCCTCCTGGTTTATCCAACTTTGGCTATCCCTACAGGTGAATCTGTCCTTCCCCTAACTCCAGGTATGGTCCACCCTGGTTCATGCCTCTGCATCTGAAGCCTGGGAGGGAGGAGGGAAAGGCACTGAGAAAGTGGGCATCCTGAGCACGTGGTCCTTGCCCTCTCCCTCCTGGACTGAAATATCAGCTGTAAGATTCTAATGTCAACTCTGGAAAAAAGTTTCTGAGCAGCTAGACTTCATTCAGCTCTGCAGTGTATAGGTTGTTTTAGGAGATCCCATAAATCACGGAGAAAATATGAGGACCAATAAAGTTCCTATTAAAATGTCCTATAAACTTGTGACACCTAAGAGTTTAGTCGCAAATCCTACAGAGAACTATGTTAAATGGCAACAAAAGAAGAAACCTTTACATAACTAGAAACAGAAAACCAAACACTGCATGTTCTCACTTATAAGTGGGAGCTGAACAATGAGAACACATGGACACAGGGAGGGGAACAACACACAATGGGGCCTGTTGGCACGTGGAGGGAGGTAGAGCTTTAGGAAAAATGGCTAAAAAAAAATAGCTAATGCACCCTGGGCTCAATACCTAGGTGATGGGTTAACAGGTGCTGCAAACCACCATGGCACACGTTTACCTGCCACGTACCCCAGAACCTAAAACCTGCACATCCTGTACATGTACCCCAGAACTTAAAACAAAAACAAAAATAAATAAATAAATAAAATAGGCTGGGCACTATGGCTCATGCCTGTAATCCCAGCATTTTGGGAGGCCGAGGCGGGTAGATCACCTGAGGTCTGGAGTTTGAGACCAGCCTGACCAACATGGTGAAACCCCATCCCTACTAAAAATACAAAAGTGAGCTGAGTGTGGGGGCACACAGTTGTCTGTAGTCCCAGCTACTCGAGAGGCTGAGGCAGGAGAACTGCTTGAACTGGGAGGTGGAGGTTGCAGTCAACCAAGATTGCACCACTGCAACTCCAGCCTCAATGATAGAGCAAGACTCTGTCTCAAAAAATAATGAATTAATTAATTAAAGAAGACACTTTGCATAGCTAACAGGTTTTACCAGCTTCCAGGCCCCTGCTGTTGGGGGAAGCATGTCCCTTGCTGGAGGAAACTGCAGCTGGGGCTGTGTGCTGGAACGCATATGAAAGCCCCCAGGAGGCTTCCTGAGCCCTTCATCTGGGCCTGTGTTCCCTCAGCTCAGGTTTTGGTGGGGGCTGAGGTTTTCTTTCTGGGTTGTGCCTGTCTGTGGAGCCACGTTTGCTTCACACCAAGAAAAGCAGCTGATCCAAGGCCAAATAGACTCTAGAATATTGTCCAGCTGCCACCAGCCCCTTCTGCTAGGCAGGTCCCTAGCAGTGCCAATGCCCTTGAATTTTGGATGAGTGGCTCACAGCCTCAAGAAGATGCCTAGGATCCAGCGGTCTAACCACAGAAAACCCTGCCCCACCCTTGGGACTCTAAAGGTTTCATCAAGCACTGAGTGGCCATACACTCTGTCACCTGTCTTCTATTCTTTTTCACTAACCAAGATCTCCCATAATGAACCTGGGGCAGGGGGACACCCAAAGCTTGGGTCTTGTGAATGTGGCCCGAGTTGAAAGGACTTGAAATTTTAGCATCCTTGGAAACAAACATCACATGGATTCTGAGAACACCAAATGTCAAGAGACTCTGCATGTGACATGGTGGGCTTCTTTGATGGAAGAGGCCAGAAGGGCAGGAAGCACCTTAGCTGAGGGCCCTCAAAAGGAGCCACAGTGTTCCCCGCAGAGGATATCTTCCCTGACCCCAAAGCACTGTGGCATTCTGATAACAAAAAGTCACTTTCTAGTAACCATAAACAGATAGCATTTTATTAAACACTGTAGTAGAATACTGAGGGTAGCTTCAAACATCTATGTTTTTTCTGCATTTACATGGCTCTTGATTAAACAAAAACACCATAAGTTATTTAATGCTGGTGTTTTTTCTTCCCACTACCATGCGTACAGAGGAGGGGTGTGTGTGTGTGTGTGTGTGCGCGCGCGCACGCGCGTGCGTGTGTTTGTGTCAGCATGCAACATGCAGGGTAAGAGATGCGGTACAGGGAAGGGTCAGCAGATGGAACAACTTGACTTGCCTGGGAGCTGAGAGCCTTAAACCCTGGCACTGCCTCCTCAAACTTGAGAATTCATGGGTTTGCTTGCTTCAGAGTCATGGTTGTGGTTGCACGAGTACTACCTCCCAGAGAGGGGCGCCTTAGTGCAGCGCCCTCCCCACAGCGCAGCACTAGTGCAGGGCCCTGAGCCGGGTCTAGGTTGTGAAGGCTGTGCCTCCTCCACTTTGTTCTAAAATCTCCTGCTGCATTTTCTCTCTCCTCACAAGGATTCATCATGTGAAACCTGCAAATGGCTTTCTTTTACCTCCTATGTCAGGTCTAAACCCCATGGCCTGGTTTTTGAGATTTCCCATAATCTTCCTATTCCCACCCAGGGGTGTCCCCTGCTCCCTGCCACCCCTGCTGAGCAGCAGGCCACCTGCCTCAGATAGGCAAGCCCACCTGCATGCATGCTGTGCACATCCCTCCTTGGCCCATTGCTCCTGCCAGCTCCTTCACCTGCTCTTTCCCCTCTCCCAGTGTAATCCCACCTCCTGCAAAGCTTCCCTGGGGTCTTCATTCACCTCTTGCCCCTCTGGGCTCATGCAGCACTTACCTACAGTGTGTAGGCTACTCTATCCCTCCCTATCTGTTCAGATTGTCCCTCCTGGTGAGTTAGAGGAGACCCAAAGGAGGGCATTTTGTTTTACCCTTTCTTCATACTCTGGCCCAGATTGGGGATCAGTGAGTGCTGTTAGTGGATTCATTTCATATAACCCACCTGCTTCTTCACACTCCCTATCTCTGAGCGGATCCTCTGGATCAGGCGGTTGAACTCAGAGATTTCAGCCTTGGTGAGCTTGAGGTCATCCCCATGCTGGCCTGCTGTGACCTGCAGCTCCTGGATCTGAGGTTGGGTAACAAGAGAAGAGGACCACAAGGATCTACTGAACTAGGGCAGGATCCTTTTCTTCCAGACAGGAAAGGACCTGCCCTAGTTCAGTAGAATCCTCAGGTTCTCAAATATGAGCATCTTGGTGGAGGCCAATTTTCCTGTCCTCATTTTGCCAAAGTTGGAAACATGAAGCTAACACAATATATGTGAATTACCCATAGAAACAGTGTCAGAATCCTATCAGGGTTATAGCTGGTGTCACCTCAGCCAAGGGCCGTGACGGAGGAAAGGTTAAGCCCCATATATGTCTGCAACACAAGTCAAGACTGTGGTCAATCTCCCTTACCCATGGGGTGGCATTTCCACAAGACCCAACTCCAAGACAAAGGAGGTCTTGACTGAACCCAAATGCACACACACACAAACACACACATGTACTCATGCATGCATACTGCGAGGGTGCTAGCAGTGGCCAGTGGGACTCGGCACACCTGGTGGCCAGCTCACCTTGGTCTGGTACAGGGCCTCGGCCTCGGCCTTGCTCTTCAGGGCGATCTCCTCATACTGGGCGCGGACCTCAGCAATGATGCTGTCCAGGTCCAGGTCCCGGTTGTTGTCCATGGACAGGATGACAGACGTGTCGCTGATGTGGGACTGGATCTGAGCGATCTCCTGGGGAATGGTTGTGGGAGGGGAGCGAGTTAAGGGGTCCTCATGAGGAACCAGTTATCTTGGTGCTCCCTGGGCAAATTCCTCACAGCTCCTCTCTGCCTCTCCTCAGCGTTTGAACTCTGCCTCAGCACCAGTGCCTGGCAGGGATGTGAATGAGTGCCTTAGGCTTTCAGCCCCAAGTGCTGGGAGCTCCTTTCTCCATCGCACACTCAGGACCACTCCTGCCCTCTTCTACATTGTTATCCTCAGAAGCCAGCCACCGCCACCCTCCTCCCATAGGACCAAACTCTTTCCCTAGCATGCGGAGGGCCCTAGGGAGTCACCAGCACTGGCCTCTTCCCCAGGCCTCTGTACCCTTCCTTGTTCCTCGTGCTTTAGTATGGCACAGGCTCCTGGATCGTCAATTTTTCTGCCCCTCTCAGCACCCACTGAAATCTTCTTCCTCCTCTCTCCAGAAACCTACACTGATGACCCAGGCAGAATCCACCATTCCCTCCTCTGCTGTCTCAAGGCTCGGCTAAACGGTGTTTTCCTGCCAGGCTGTGAACTCCTGGAGGTCAGAAATCATTTCTTCTCCTTCATGGACTCGTCAAAACCTAGCTCATTGCCCAGCACCCAGCAGGGCCTTGGTGAATGCAGGTGGAAGAAGCCTAGAGGGCTTCCAGCTGTACCAGGTTGAAAGCTTTCTCCCTACCAATTTTTGGTTCACACAACCCTCTAGCCAAGGGCTAGAAGCCACTTGTTAGAGGAGCAGACCTCACAAGAGAGGTCAGCCAAGTCCTTACCCCTTCATAAAGGCACTTGAAGAATTTAATCTCATCTGTCAAGGAGTCCACCTTGGCCTGGAGCTCAACCTTGTTCATGTAGGCAGCATCCACATCCTGGGAGCACAGGACAGTCAAGCCTCCCCGAGAGAGCCATCCATGCCCTTCCCTCCCTCCCTCCCTCCCTCCCTCCCTCCCTGCCACAGGAAGCCCTGCTCTCTCTGCTCCCTTCACCCTGTGCTCAGTCCCTGAAAGCAAACCAACTAACATGCAATGTAATGCCCACACCAGTAGTGCAGCAAAATGCTCAGATTTTAGACTGGCAAATTCTAGAAACAGCATGCATCCCAGGGAAGGGATTTGGAAGGAGCGGCTAGGAAGTTAGGGTCCCAGTCACCCCTGTCCAGTCACCCCTTTCCTCATCCTGCAAGCATCACTGTGCCAGGTGGACAGGGAGCCCTCTAGGCTTCTTCCAGCCCACCCTGCACCCCTCTTACCTTCTTGAGCACCACAAACTCATTCTCAGCAGCTGTGCGTCTGTTAATCTCCACCTCATACCTGCATGGGGCAAGACAATGAGATAATTCAATTCTGCAAGCACTCACTGAATAGTTAGTGACCACCTCTGTGCCAAGAGCCGCGTGGTAGGGGGGGTCTTCAAACTGGGATTCATGTACCCCTGGGATACACATAACCTTCCTAAAGAGGATGCAGGCAAGGCCATATTTAAAGAAATCGATTGCCAGCTCCTCTGTCCCTATGCAGTCTGCCTTAAAACTACCTGCCTCAGAAAGCACCTGTGGTTGAGATGTCATGCATTTTCTACTGCCCACTTCCTGTCACAGTTAGCCCCTCCCACATTATAGCAGAGGTGAAAAGGCACCCACCCCCACACCAGCACCACATGACAACTTAATATTGTGCAATAGTTCAGGGTGCAAAAACCTCCTAGGCACCAAACAAAAGCACCATTCTCACTTTCAAACTGTACATTATACTTATTTCTTTTACATATTTCTGTTCCAGGTGAAGCAGAAACAGAAGCAAGATCTAAGACACAGAAATTTGGATAGGACTGGGATGTTCTGAATACAGACATATTGTTGATTGGGGAGGTAAGGGTGCTAATCATTTTATTTAAAGAGCTTACCTCTTCCATCCCTTACTTTTCCCAAAGAACACATTATAGGACATTTGTGAGGGTAAACAAAATAGAGCATTGGTAAGAAATAATTAATGCTAAATGGACAAGCAAAGTGTGGTGTATACATACAATGGAATATCATTCAGACTTAGAAAGAAAAAAAAAATTCTACAATATGCAACAACACGGATGAACCTTGAGGACATTCTGCTAAGCAAAAGAAGCCAGTCCCAAAAAGGCAAATATTCCAAAAGACCAATGATCCCATTCGTTTGAAGCACTTAGAGTAGTATAAGTCAGAGACAGAAAGTGGAATGCTGGGTGCCAGGGGCTGGGAAAGAGGGGAGGAGATGGGGAACTAGTGTGAAGTGGGTACAGGGTTCCAGTTTCACTAGATGGAAAGCATTCTGGAGGTGGACGGTGGTGGCGGTTGCAGACATTATGAATGTATTTGATGCCACTGAACCGTCCACTTAAACATGGTTAAGATGGCAAATTCTGTTATGTGTATTTTATCACAACAAAAAATTGGAAAAAAAAATAAGGCTAGATGATAGCTTTTTAATTCATGTACTCAGCATAAACAATCCTTTTCAGCTCTTCGCTCATTCCTAAGGCATGTCCCTGGCAGTGCTCTCCCCAAAAAGCACTGCTGAATGGCTGAAGCAGGGCCGGGTAGTGAAGAAAGTTATTTCAAATGTGACTAGGATGTTTCCTGAGGCTGCAGATCTTTCTTGTTATGCTATGTAAAGCACACAGAAAGCAGTCCATATGATTTACCTCAAATTCTGTGTCTTATTCAAGGGATAACTGAAACTTTTTAATCAAATTATGTCATGAAACAGCTATTTCTGTTACAGTCAATATAGTATCTTACAAAATTGTTAATAATGTCTACCTCCTTTTAATAAAAATAAAAGCATATGGTAGTTGCCAGACCAATTAATTTTTAATAGTTTATATCTATTTCCTAAAATACATAGAAAACATTTGACCAAGTGGGTTATCAAAATCAATTACATTAGTGATAAATAATTTTATATTATTTACTTGCAGAAACCAAACAATAGCATTAAATATATATATTAAAAAGAAAAATGATGCATTTTATAGCATTATAAACTTAAAAATAACATTATTTTAAAGATATGTTACAATGAATAATTAAAAGTTAAACCACGAAAAAGTACATATTGATTTATCTGGTTTTATAACATAAATAGTTGTATTAGTTATATTAAATCTAAATCATTTTAATCTTAAATGCTTCCAGTAACCCATTACACAAGACATATTTCTTAGTTTATTGCTGAGTGGATTTTATAACAGTCCCTAAAGTACAAATTCTTATTTTTACTTGAATTTAGAAATGAAATCAGGCTTTTTCTGATAAAAAGCAACTCATGTCTCTGATGTGAACATGAAAATTGGCTTTTCCAATAAAGCTAGAGGGCAGATATTTTCTATATAAATTGAATAAGGTAAATCTGCAGCTAAAAATGTGTATGTGTGTGTATTTATGTATAAAAACATGAGGCAGAATCACATTATTTGTTAAGGATAAAGAATTGGCATAGGCATATTGAGTACTAACAGTATTTTATATTTCCAGTCCTTTCCGATCCATTGGATTAAACATAGTGCTCTGTTTTGAGACAACTCTCTTTCCCTCATTCCTTCATTTTCAGTGCTAGAAATTGAGCACACATTTATTTCCTAGACACTTTGGGGCACCAATGTAGGTAGAAGCTATTCTTTTCCTAAGTCCCATTCTGTCTGGATGTCCCTCCCTCCCACAGTGTCAGCAAAGGATCTAAGAAGCAAAAATGCTGCCTCTAAATGAAAACTTCATCTGAAATTTGATCCCCCAGGGGCATATTCTCTGCCACTCACTCACCTCTTCTTGTAGTCCTCCACCAAATCCTGCATGTTCCTCAGCTCCGAGTCCAGCCTCACCCTGTCCCCGGACAGCGTCTCCAGCTGCTTCCGCAGGTTGCTGATGTAGCCCTCATAAATGGGCTCCAGGTTTTTCCTGCAGTTGTTCAAGTCCAGCTGCTGCAGGAGGTCCCACTTGGTCTCCAGTACCTGATTCTGCTGCTCCAGGAACCGCACCTGGAACCCAAAGCCAGTCATCGCCCAGAGTCCCCATGCTGTTGCCTCTCAAGAGTGAGGAGAGGGCCCCAGAAACCAGAGGCAGCTGTCCTAGGGGACTGGGGGTAGAAAAGAACAAGGCTTATCCTGGGGAGGATTCAGCCAAGGGACATGCTCACCTGGATCACTAAGACAAGAAATAGGACCTGATTTCTATTAGAAATCAGGAAGAGGGCTTAAGCAATGGTACCATCTGCCTCTGCCTTAGTGAGTTTTCATGAGACAGAGGTAGCTTCTCTTGCTATAAATGCTGGTGTTTTCTGAGTAAAGGGAAATGGGGAGCAGGGGAGAAATAGCGACTGGGGGGTGACATTGGAACGCACACTGGCATTTAGAGCGTTCTTCCCGTTGCGTAGCCTAAATTGCGTTTGGTTTGTTCATTTCTTTGTTCATAGCAGGTTATCACATTTTCACAAGGTTTCTTCATATTTGACCAGGGTGCAAGTTTTTAGATTCATTAACTCCAGGCCCTCTGCCACACACCAGCATTCCTCTCCTCACCTGTCTCTTAGCTTGAGCGGCAGGAGGAAACATGCTAGAGAACAACAGACATGAAAGAGAAAGAAAATGCCCTGGCCTCTGGAGTAGCCACTGCGTTTCTTCCATGCAGACCTGAGCCCTCCAGCCACCTCACTTCCCCCTCCCTAGCAGAGTGGTGACACACAGCCCACCACCAACTGTCCTGTTTAGATGAGCTCATTTCTTAGCCTCCCATGTCCTAATTTTCTCATCCGCAAGGCAAAACAACAACAGAGTCATGAGTTGTGCATTAGTAAATGAGGATCACTTAGGCAGCACCATAAATGTCAGCCAGCTATTGCTATCAGGCCCCTTACCACTTACCATCTAGACCTTCCACCCAGGTGGAGACAAGAGAAGCCCATTCCCTGTCTGCTCTCCACTCACTGGTGTCATGCCTTGGAATCTCCAGGGTCAACTTCCCTATTACTCCAATTTCTGGACGCCCCACCCTCAGCACACACCTGTAACTTTACCTGCGCTCTTTCCAAGTGCCTCCTCAGCCTCACCCTTCAGTTTTCTGGCCCTTTTCTCTCACCTTCCTGGCTACACACTTACCCAACTCCCCAAACACCAAGCACCATGTCCTGCAGCGTCTCCTGGCCTGTGGTCCTAATGCCCTGTCCTGAACATGGTCCCATCTCCTGGTCTGATATTGGGAGCTCTCAAAGTGCCCATTCCTCGTAGCTCCTGCCCCCTCCCTTCCCACAGTCTTGCCTCATGCAAGAAAGGAATGAAGGTCCTTGATAGGTTTGGCTGTGTCCCCACCCAAATCTCAACTTGAATTGTGTCTCCCAGAATTCCCTCGTGTTGTAGGAGGGACCCAGTTGAATCCTGGAGGCCCGTCTTTCTCCTGCCATTCTCATGATAGTGAATAACTCTCACAAGATCTGATGCGTTTGTCCGGGGTTTCTATTTTTGCTTCTTCCTCATTTTTCTCTGGCCGCCGCCATGTCAGAAGTGACTTTGGCCTCGTGTCGTGATTGTGAGGCCTCCCCAGCCATGGGGAACTGTAAGTCCAATTAAACCTCTTTTTCTTCCCAGGCTCGGGTATGTCTTTATCAGCAGCGTGAAAATGGACTAATACCTCCTGCTTACTGGAAGCGTGTGTCTCGCACTGTTCTGAGCACTTTATAAACATCCCAATTAAGCCTCATCACAACCCGCTGGAGGAAGACCCATTATTGTGCCCGTTTTCCAGATGGAAAAGGCAGGCTTGGAGAAGTGGTGACTCGCCCACGTTCCCACGCAGCTCGCCAGTGGCAGAGCCGGCCCCACTGTGCACGCTGCGCCCCCCGCAGGGACAGGCCGATGGCCCAGGACCCACCTTGTCAATGAAGGAGGCGAACTTGTTGTTCAGCGCCTTGATCTGCTCCCGCTCCTGGGCGCGCACCTTCTGGATCTCGGGGTCCAGCTCCACGTTGAGCGGGGCCAGGAGGCTCTTGTTGACGGTGACCTGAGGGATGCCCCCGGGCGGGCACACGGAGGGACACGCGGGCCCCAGCCCCGCGCTGCCGAAGACGGTGCCCACGAAGCCGCCCAGGCGGCCGCCGCTCCGCCCCGCCGCAGCGCTCAGCGCCAAGCGCCGGCTGCCCCCGGGGCAGAAGAGGCTCTTGCTGCCGAAGGAGGCCGAGCCCTTGACCCCGGCCCGGAAAGAGGCGGAGCTGCTGCCGATCCTGCCCGAGAGGACCGCGGAGCAGCCGCTGAAGCCCAGGCGCTCCCCGCCGGGGAAGTGGGTCAACTGGCGGCTCATGGCTGGCGAAGACCGGTGCTGGCGGCGCGGGAGGCAGGAGGGGCGCAGACAGCCGCTGCGCTCTCGGCCAGGCTCTCCCCTTAAATAGCCTGGCTGGCTGCAGTCTGCCTAATTTGTACGTCGAAAACACCTTTTAGATCCCTCGAGGACTCTTGGGTTCTTCATGTAGGAAATTACCATCCACTCACGGAGATTTTTGTCCACCATGAACTCCCCATGAATCCCTATAAAGTGACCCAGAACCCAGCATTTACTTGGCTCACCTCCTACATTATCCCTTATCTCCACCTGCTGCCCTCCAATTACTGGGGTTATCACCCCCAAGATCGCCCCTGGAAGCTTCCAATGGGTCTGGCCTCTCTGGGTGTGTGTCTGGGGAGACGGAGGTGTGTGAAGCAGATGTCCAGGCTGGTTCTCTTCAGAAGGCCATGAATGGGGTCAAGAATATTCCGGAAAATCATCCTTAGCCTGTCCTCCTCCTGCCTCCCAGGCTTCTGCGTGAGGACAAGTTCTGTCCTGTGTGCAGGAAGGAAGCTGAGAAGGAGGAGATTTTGGCCCCATCCGCAGAGACCTCTCAGTCTACTGGGGGAGGCAGGACACAGAGCACTCTGGGTACAAGTGTTGGGGGTGACTCTGGACCAGAGTGAAAAGGTTTCTCCATGAAAGCATTTCTGGATTAAGAATGGGATGGAGGGAAGAAGTCCTGGGGAGGTGGCACAGGAAGGCTTAGGCATGGTTTAGCAGATGATATGTCCTAAGGTTTTGGGTTATTTTCATTTTTGTTTTCTTTTACTAGCAGAAGAGGCTCATTCATCCAAATCCAGGAAACCTCTGCTCAGATCACTTGCCACCCTGTGGTTTCTAATTCAGCGTCAAAACGTGACCAGTTATTAGGAACAGGTCAAGACTCTTCAGATCTAAAACCAAGAACTAGATTCTAGAACTTGATTCCCTTGAAGCTACTTCATTCCCTTGAAGCTACAGAGGATACTTCTTCCATCTAACCCGATTCCACTTTCTCAAACTTAAGTTGCCTTCAAGTCTCCCCCTCTCTTAGCAGAAGCCCTCCTATTCCTCTGACATGCGGGTGGAATTGTTTCATTGCTCTTATTTCTCAAGCTGTCGGAGTCCTGAGTGTGTGTTCCATTTCCTCTATTGGATTGACAGGATGGACTCACCCTTTTCTCCCCTGCTCCCCCAGTGCTCAGCCCAGGTCTTGGTTCCAGGGACATTCAGGATGATTGTGAAACAGCAGAGGGCTTAGGGAAAGGCTCTTAACTGTGCCCTCAGTGATATCCTGAAGGCTGGGCTCCCCTTGAGGATCTCGTGGGATGGCTAAATGGTACCTGGGGGTGATTGGCTGACACAGCCTCCACTGGGCCAAGGACAGGACATAATAACAGCTACAGCGTTTACCCCACAGGGAACAAAGTTGTGGGGGCATTGTTAAGCGGTGGAGATGGCGCCGATCACAGATGAACAGATAGCGGCGTCTGGGTGTCCTAGGTGGGAGAGACGGTGGGCTCTCAGTGCTGCCTCAGAGGAGGGGCTGTAGTCCATTCCCTCTGGAGAGAAGAGGGGCAGTATCATTGTGGCTAGGTGACCAGCAGACCCTTCAAGAAGATCAAAGTTATCCTTTTCATTATTACATGAGATTTTTCCTCTGCCCCATAAATTTAGCCAGTTTTTTCCCACAAGCACTAAAATGAATTTATTTATTCCGGCCATTGAGCATAGAAAAGTAATAAATGGATTACATTGAAAGAGAATAATTTTTACATAGGATTGGCTTAGAAAAGATGTCTTTGAAATCATTTTTTTTTTCCTTAGAAATTTTCTAAGGAGTTGAGATATCCTGGGACCCGGGCTCTTCTGCCCAGGGTTAAGGAACAGGTAAGCTGATCTTTTCTTATCTTCCCAAGAGGGGTTGACTAGCTGGATGAATAAGGGATTCTTCAACCCCTGAATCACCTTTATTATAGATCATGAAGAGACAGAAGTGACACATGCAGATTTCAAAGGCCTCAGATGTGTGGGGATGTCAGCAGGTCAAAGTGGGTTGAGGCCTGGGAGAAGGAGTTGCCTCTGCCTCTGATAGCAGCTTACAGTGTCACCTCAGGCCCTGGTCCTCTGTCATTAGTTCTTGGGTTAAAGCAACCCCTGGATTAGTAAACTAGACCAGGAGCCTTGACCTTTGAAACCAGATGTCTACTACAAAAGATGGATGAAACCACTCTAGGCCAAGAATTGCAAATGCATTGCTGGTTAAACTGGATCTTGGAGGCTGTGCTGGGTTTAAAAAAAAATTAAGCAGGCATCATATTTCAGGACTTTCTAGACCCATTAACATGCTTAGTGCTAGAGCAATTTTAGGGCAGTAAACTATTCTGTATAGTACCATAATGATGGCTACATGTCATTATACATTTGTCCAAGCCCACAGACTTTCCAGTGAACCCCAGTGTAAACCATGGACTTGGGGTGATAATGCTGCATCAGTGTAAGTTCATTACTTGTAACAAATGTACCGCTCGGGTGGGAGATGTTGATAAGGGAGGAGGCTATGCATGTGTAGGGTCAGAGGTACGTGGGAAACCCAAGTACCTTCCACTCTATTTTGCTATAAACCTAAAACTGTCCTAATAAATAGTCTATTAAACAAATAAATGGATGGATGGATGGATGGATGGTAGATGGATAAATGGACAGATGGATGATATTAAACCATAATAACAGAAAAACATGATACTTTCTGCAGTACCAAAGGGTAATACAAAACTTAATGTTTTTTACACATGGTGGTTGAGAGGTGGGCTTGTGAATGGGGCAGTGTCAGTGGGGTTTTTTTTCCACTTTTTGATATGTCTGAATTTTCTAATATGAGCATATAATGCTTTTAGTTTTTCAAAAAACAACTAGAGATGAAAGGGGAGGGAAGCTGATTCTAGAATCAGAAATGAAGTTTCCTGAAAGAATAGTCTATACCTAAAAATAATAGGGGCCCCATTTATGGAGCACTTACTATATGCTAGACATGAACTAAATAATTCTCATAATTTCATTAAATTATCATAACAACTCTATGAGGTAACTAATTATTAACCCCTTTTTAGGGATGAGAAAACTGAGGCTTATGGAGCAGAAGTATCTTGCCTAAGTTACACAACTAGTAAGTTGCAAAGTCCTTCTGACTTAGGTTCCATCTGACACCCAAGTTTAACTTCTCCCTCAGGCTCTACAGGATAAAATCCCAGCTCTTAGCATGCATGAAAGGCCTCTCTTACGCACCTGCTGCCTGCCTCCCCAACTCTGGATGCCACTGCACCCTCCCTCTCCTCCTACTGAGCCTCCTCCGTCCTCACACTTCACACCCCAGCAACAATCACCTATTTGTACCATGCTGGTGCCTCTGGCTACAAAGCCTACTTCCTCCCCTTGTCCACCTAGTAAATTCCTATCCATCCTCTAAAACCTCTACACATATCGCCTCCTCTGTGAGCTTTCCCTGACCTCCCTGAAGTTCCTCTCTCTCCTCTAGGCTGCCTCTGTGTCTTCTTTTGTTGCTGACACCTCACCATGCTACAGTTATGTGTTTTATGGTTATGCTTCCATTAGGTGCATGGACAAGATTTCTTCATCACTGTATCCCCAGCACTAGCATATGCCAGACATGACATATGCTTAATGAATATTTGTCGAATGACTTTCTTCACTGGCCCTAAGAATATAGTCCTGAGACTAATTATTCCACCAATCAGTTCTCCTTTGGGAATTAAGCTTGTGCTGTAATTCATGAGATGGTCTCCTTAAAGTTTGGATTTTTGAACTGCTTTATCTGCAGCTGTACACCTCTTTCAGCGAGCTAATTAAGTCAGACCAAAAATATGGAGGACACACTTTAGTTTCCAATAACATTTATTAAGCATCAACTTTGTGCCAGCAATTGCACAAGATATCCTCGTGCTGTCTCATTTTAGTGTTAACAACAATTCAGGGACATTATTCTTCCTGTTTTATAGCTAATGAAATAAGGTTCGAGAAGATGGAGATCTTTGTTCATTATTGCCACTTAGTTGCAAAGTCTAAATCTGAATTCACAGCTATTGACTTGAAGTCTAGGACTCTCCCAGGAACCACAGAGACCTGTTCAGATGCAACACGGGAGCCCCAAACTGCATGTGTGCCAGCTTCTCACTCGCGTTTACATCCTGTTGCATCCTGATGGCATCATCGTGGCCTGGGGATCTATGAGAAATCTCTGAGCATTTTCAAAACAAACATTTCCCCCTGAATTCCTCCCTGGCCTCACCTCACCTCTCCCACGCTCACAGTGGTTGAACCCTCCTCTGTACTGGTCCATGTCCTCCTAGAGCAGAGACCCCGCCACAACCAGGTGGAGTCCTGTCAACCTGTGACTGAGAGGCTTGTTGCACTGGGCCCCACAGCTTTATGAAAAGAATCTGCAATTGTGTGTGTAACAGAGACGGCCCCATTCTTAAACGCATATACATATGCACACACATATTCATACATATGTAAATAAACTCATACATATACACCTAAATATAAACACCCATGCTCAACTCCGTGGGAACTTTAGCAAGGACCAAGAGAACATGTTACTTCAAAGAGGATCTTCCTTTGGGCCTTTTCTTAGGGGAGATGGAGCCATCCTAACTCGGCCCCAGGCTATCTAGAACTGACCTTCTGCTGCCTCTTGACCAGTTTTAAGTCTTGACACCAGGCAAGGGTGGGCTGCTTCTCCCTGTTAATAACCTGCAGAGATCCCCCATTCACTGGAGCATTGGCCCGAGAAAACCATGACTTAGAAGGTGCTAGTGAGATTCCCCCAGGCTGGGTAGGGCCTCTATCACTCAGATCAAAATATACATCCAGACTTTAGATGCCTGAGGCTCCCATTCATTGACCACTCCATATGCAGAAGAGACATGGACTGAGATGTGGACTCCCTTAGGAGAGAGAAGCAGCCTGACCCAACGTGGGTTTTATAAGT